AATTTTATTATAAAAGTATAATTAACCAATAATGGTTTCATAACAATAGTGTTTAATTAGTACTAAGAGAAATGACCTACATCCTATATACAATGAGGTACTATATATGCACTCATTTTTTTACTTAAATATCCTATATATTCTAACTACATACTATACTACATGTATATTCATCTACTTCTAGTTTTTGATTTCTATGCATCTTCCAACTCTCAAAGCTTTACATATGACTAAAACAAAAAATATTTCTCTAACAAAGAATCTCCAATAATTGCTTTAATCAAAAAATGTATATCTTTATCTTAGATGTCTTTGTCTTATTAATAACTTTGGATGTTGTGCTAACAAAAGTATCATCACCAATATCAAAGATGACCACACAATGTTCTAAATTCAAATTGAATTCAACAAATACACAAACATAGACAACAATTACATAAAACAACAACTCCAAACAATTGTACAAAAATTAGAAAGCCAAAAGATAGGAAGTATTACCATTGATTTTTTCTCAACACCAATGTTTAGAACATTGCTTACCAATCAACTTACTTGAAGAAAATATAAAGTTATTCACAAACCGCCCAAATACCAACTATATAATCAAATATTTTCAATAAAACTTCAGGGTCAAAATATTCTCATTAGATAAATCTGCTCTTAAGGATAACCTCAAATAAGTATGCTCAGATAACCTCAGATAAGTCTGCTCTTACGGATACAGCTTCGGCACTCTCTGGTCAAGTATTTCTCCAGTAAAGTCGCAGCACTCAAGTCCCACTTCAATCACACTGTAACCAAGGATACCTTCGCTAGCAGAGGCATCTCACAAAATTTGAAGAAGAGGACGTCGTCGATGCAATTCAGAATTTGCAGCTGAGGGAAAGAGAGCAGCGACTGTCAGGAAGAGCCATACTTGGCATGAACAGAAAGCACATGGTGGTTGCAAGCTAGACTGTGATGTTGGTGGAGGGCACCCAAAAACCCCAATGACTCGCTCGGGTACTCTGGCAAACCTTTGAGGAAACTGAGTGACTGGTGCGCGTGTCTACCCTCGTAGGGTAGTTATCACCAGGTCGGAGTCCTCTGTGGAGCGCTCCACGCGCTTCCGCATTGGACAATATGGCGTAGTGCACCAGGAGTAGTTTCTGCAACATGTCGAGTGCCAAACTGTCAGACATCACAAAGCATGGAAAGTAAACAACTTACCATACACAAAGAAATGACACGACTTGATCTTTATTATTATAAACATTTTAAGTTTATTTTTATAATATTAACATATTAACTATTAAAAAAATATATATGGTAAATATTTAAAAATATCTAAATTTTTATAGTTTTAATATAATTTAGATGTTTATGTAAAAATTCTAAACTCTAAGAAGTATATATATATATATATATATATACGTATATGTAGAATTTTTTTTTGTGAACTTTTATTTCTTCTATTAGATTGTGATTCAAAAGCAACATTAAAAGATCTTTATGCTCTAGAAAAGAAAGAAAAAAGTTACAACGTTTAAAGTTTGTAATAAATTGAACTAAAAAAACCTTCTTAGGTTTGCTTTATATTTTAAAAAATTAAGAAGTTATGAGAGAAAACACAAGATAGAGTGCATTATTTTTTTCATATTTTTCCCAAACAACATATAAAATCTTCTTTCTTTAAACTTATATTAAGTTTAATATTAAGAAGTGAAGTTGTTTATTATTATTACAAAGAACTTTATACTATTGTAAATTCTTTCTAAGAATGGTACCATTTTCTTGAAGGCACTTCAAATCTAATGACTATATGTATAAATCACAAGAACCTTAAGTATTTCATGTTAGCTTATATTTTAAATTATCTTTAAGCTTATTAAAACATATCTTCATTATGTTTCAACTTTATATATCAACCTAACAAACAATAAAGATTGTCACATGTTTTATAAAAAAAATCATATCTTGTACCAAAAGAAAGAAAAGTAATATTCAATTATTAATAGATAATACTATTGAAATCCAAAAAATCTTGTATTTAAGAAACTTCTATATAAATTCTTATAGATTTTTTATTTCTCGATTAAATTCATACAACCTTAATTCCAAAATCTTCTTTTTTTTTCAATATTAAACATTGTTCCAATGAAATCCACATTATTTCAAGTAATTTTAAGTTTAAAAAGGATCTTTTTTACTTTAAAAATATTTGTATATTCCAAAAAATGCCATTGTGCCTTCATATTTTCCAAATATGTCATGACTATTCAACCAAAATATTTTGAATTCAACAAGAAATTAGAACTTATTTCTAGAAATTTTTAGTTGTTTCAAATATAGAAAGTTTTCAAGGAATTTTATTATCTTTTGCAATTTATATTTTAGATCAAAGAATCCTTGACATTATTCATTTTGACTTCTTCAACCATTATTAGTTTTGAAGCAACCATGATCTTCTAGCTCTTTTGACTTTTTTTGGACCTTCCACTATCAAATTTCTTTGATACCATACATATAATTGACAACCTATTTACAAAAAATGTACATTTGTCTCTAGTAAGATAATAATTATTTATAAAGAAATGGCTAAACTCTTTATTAATAATTTCTATTGATACTATGGATTACCACATGATATTATATCAGATTAAAGACCATACTTTATAACCAAGTTTTGGAAGTTACTTTTTGAAATTCTTCAAATAAATATCAAGATTTTTTCAACATTTCATCCATAAACTAATGGCCAAATAGAGTAAATCAACCAAATCTTAGAATAGTACTTGAGATGTACCATCAATTATCAATAAGACAATTAGACATCTTATTTGTCTCTAGCAAAAAATTTCTACAATACAATTGACACATTTATTCAATAAATTCTATTTTACTTTGATCATGGTTGGTATCCAAAATTAGATATATTATCTGTTGATAGATTCAAAATCTGGCAGCAAATAACTTTTCAAGCCAAATAGCTAATATCCAAGTTACTTTGAAGCTTATAAAAAATCAAACATATCAAAAAGAGTACAACCATTACTGCTTTGTATTGAAGTAGATAACCTTGAAGAACTTAAGATAGAAGAAATATTTGATTTGTTGCTAAGACAAAGGCACCTTGAATACTTTGTGCATTGATGCAATTTCAACATTAATAAGTGTACATGATGTCTAGCTTCAAATTTAGTAAATGTGTTGCATAAGATAAAAGAATTTCATCAATAATATTTTTCTAGTCCTAAAAATGTAATATGCATTAGGTAATACAACTACTTGGTATATAAAAATGTGGTGTATCCTAGATTTTTTTTTTTTTTTTTTTTGATTTTTTTTAAATATAAGAAAAGGAACAACGCAATTTATATAGCTGAATTTTCTTAACTTTTACATAAAATTAAGATTTGATGTTTAATAAATTATTTATTAAAATATAAATTTTAGTATTTTTTATGATTTTAAAATAATAAAATAATAAAATTTTATTTTTAAATTATTGAATTAAATACAATTTAGATATTAATAAGTTTTGCAATCATATTCTCATGCTGTACTTTTGCAAGTCTTGTCTTTATGTATCAACTAATCTACTTCAAGGCTGCTCACAACCTTTGCATTTCTCCAACCTCTTTTCATACCAACAATCTTCCAATTCTTACAGCCACTAATACATTCTTGTTTTTTTCATTCTTCTATAAAATAATGTATGCAAGCTATCTGTTTTTTGTTTATCATTTTTCTCCTTTTTCTTGGCATTTCTTAAGTTCTTGTCATTTAATATTGTTCATTGTGAGCACCATGATTAATTGTTGATTCATGTATTACCATTATTCTTATATGGTGAGAGAGCATGTAGAACATAGAATATAAACAACTATTATAATAGATAGAAAATCAAGAGATTGTTTTATTTTCTTTCTTACAATATATATGACTTTTGGAAGTAACAAGTAATAATATTTTTTGGTGTTAATTTTATAGTTTTGTGAATTAATTGATTATGGTTTGTGATCTTAGAAATTCAATGACATTAAATAAATGAAAGATATTGGTACATTAGCATTATGATTTTAAATGCATGATATTAATTCATGTAGAATTCTCAAAGTAGAAGGATGTGAATGATTGGTTTTTTTTTCACTACTAAAGTGCTACAATTTTCTCAAATTATGGAACATTAAATAACAAACAACATCATCTTTTAAATACCTTGTTGATTTTTTATTCAATCGATTTGATTTCAAACATGTGAACATTGTCTTGCTTACTATTCCACTCTATGATAGGCACTTCAAATGCTTAGTATCTCTCACAACATTAAACTAGCATTGTTTTGTTATTTATTATTAATGCATGTCTTTCAAAATTTTACACCTAACCTTTAACTTATTTTTGTTTGTTACACTTTCTTGTATTTCAGTTTGTATTGAAATTAATAAACTAGGAAGGTTCACAGACAAATGAATAACAAAATTGTGATTTTAACATATCATTGTATTTTAGAAAACTGTGTAAAAGATGTGGCAAACTTTTTATAATGCAAGCAAATTATTTCAAAATAAGATATTTTTAGAAATAACCAAATTAATAATTAAGGATTCACAACAAGAGATTCTATTAATAAATTAAAAACAACTAGACAAAACCAAGTGAAAAAAAACAATGTTCATTCACTTACCAAGAAGATACGGAAAACCAAAATATTTCAAACAAATCTGATAAATCAAGATCCAACTTGTATGATTAAGTGCAACAAATAAGACCTGTCATATGCCTAGTTTTTCATACTAAACAAATGGATAATATTATAATTAAGAATAGTTTGTGGACGGTTCCGTGTATCAAAATATTTGTTCATGATTAATACAACGGATTTGTCATTATAATATGATATAAAACCGTTCCTCTGTTAGTTCTTTAATCCACACAGGACGCGTCTCCTCCAACTCATTCCTTCGTGACTGCATCATCCTTTTATCCAGCTAACAAGGGTTAGCAGAGTCTGCGGGTCACCCAAATGTAGCCTTGGAATATCACTTGGATTTATAGGAATATCCGTGACATCGTTTGAACATTCTTTTTGATGATCGTACGAAGACGATTCACAGCCAGAGCACCGCAGTCTCGCTTCACTTTGAATCGGTACTCAATATATCAGAACTAATGGTTCGAGAAGCAAACGGGATTAAACTAAACAGTGAGTACAATTTAGGTCTGCTGGTGCACTGTTCGTGCTGTCCAGATAAAATCTGCGAATCTGGTGAACCACTTTCTCCTTTAATCCCCCTGCCTACTTCTACGATGTGAACATCTATTGCTAACCTCATTGCTGGAAGAATGCAACACCCGAAAACTTTACAGTTAATAAACCGTATAAGTTGTGAAAATCGGGGACAATACCACACAAGGCGAAAGAGAACGAGAACTAAAATAGATACACTTGCCCAGCTCCAACATGCCTACTGTGTCCTGAAAATGGTCCAGAGAATTGTTTTGTCACTATAGGTTATACCACTCACTCGTTACCAAAATCAGGACAGCTTGAAAAAGTGAGAAATGCTTTGAGCGTGGGCTGCCATTAAAACGAATAATTCTTTTACCATGATAAATTACAGAAAAACTGTGTCATATCACTCCTCGTAAAGTGACCCGCAAAAGCAATTCCCCCATGGATCTATCAGCACATGGTGTAAGACTTACTTCTTGGGTTGACATTCCTTCTGTTTTGCTTGAAGAATGGTATCATACCAACTCTTCTGGACGAAGAGTGCAACAACACGAAGTATTCCCATGGACAAAATCTCTGTCAAGGCTCTCAAAAACGAAGGCTGTGGAGACATTCCTGCACATACAAGACTCAAAGCAGCTCCTTCGAAGTTGCAATCAATGTGGAAGTGGCCAGCCTTCAAACCTGTTAATGCGGAACGAGCAACGGAAACGGGATCCATTGGCGTTGTTGCCTGTGATAATATCCTTGTTATCTCTGGCATGGTCTTCTGATCTGAAGTTACCAGATTCGAGAAGCCAATCAGTCACCATACTAATCCATATATTCGTATCTCGTTCTATTCAACCTAATTGACTTAAATAATACTTAAAACTAATATCATCGGACGTTTTAATGATTGAGTGACCATTGAAGTGACTTGCGACTCCTGAATATGATAAAAAGTTCCACAGAAAAACTAGTCATAAATTCTTCCTGTCACAAATTCGTGCTTGGACTAAAAACTTAGTTTTTTGTAGGGAAAAAAAGATTAACAAATACACTCACTTTCTATCTCCTGCATAATTGTTGACAGCCAGAGAGACATTATCAATTTGCACATGCAAAAAATACGAGACAGGAGAAGACGAAGCACCTTCCATGTAGCCTGGAGTCATGGTGTCGGGAGGGTACACGAGAGACAAGCGAATATTACGATCCACAAGCTCTTGTTGCAGACACTCCGCCAGGCCCCGCAGTGCAAACTTACTGGCAGAATAAGCTGCATAACCATATACTCCAACCTGCAGCCGCAAGTAATCATTTCTATTGAATACAAAGAATAGTAAATCAAAGGGATCTCATTTGCAAGAACCAAAGAAGCACATTCATCGAACTATCCATGCATTTTGCGTCGCGAAATTGAACATTATTGGTAAGTGAATTTAGTCACTAACTTTCACATCTTAAGGGGCTTCAGTGTAGACTACAGAATAGCATAAAATGAGAGAAATCATACCAGACCAGCTTGAGAAGAGAAAATAGATATTGCTGCCGGAACTGCCTTGCTGGATTTGATATGGGGTAGAGCAGCCTTAATAGTGTGAATGTTTCCCTTCAAATTAGTGTCAAGGATGTGATCAAAGTCCTCAATAGTTGAGTCATCAAATGTAAGGACTCTAGAGACTCCATGACTAAGTAACAACACCTCAATTGGGCCAGAGTGACCAACCGCAGCCGCAATGGCCAACCTTGTGCTTTCAAAACTTTTGACGTCGGCACTGTACGTATTGATCTGATAGCCGATAAAGCTCTTGGTGAGAAAAATGAATAAGAAAAATGCATGAAACTTAAAAATGACCAGAATTCTGCAGCACTATAAAGATGTGTAGCAATGCCTGAGGATACGACTTAACAAAATCCACTTGTCAAAACTTACCGAGTTCACAACCTACTAGGTCGTTGTCATAACATTCATTCTCCGAATAATAAAACATTGGTGAAGCTCAATTTCAATTACAAAATGTATCACCAATCCATAATGAACCTAATGAATACATTTGTGAGATACCTGAAGTGACATTGCTCTCAGGGTACGTACACCAAAAACGAACTAAACATAGTCAGACATCTTTGACTTGAAAACTAATTATACAAACCAGAAGAGAGACAACTGTGCAACCTCCTAGACATACCTTCTCTTCACCTTGGAGATTCTGACGACAGTACTCAGTGACAATGCTTTTCGCATCGGCAAGTTTACTCAAGTCCCTTGCTACGAGCGATATCCGCGCGCCCTCAGCAGCTGCCAACTTCGCAACTTCCAAACCGATTCCACTAGAGCCACCTGTGATGACCACGTGCCTTCCCTTGAGGGGAATGGAGACCAGTTTCAAAGAAGACCAACTTAGATACGCCAAGAGCGCTGCGATGGCCAAAGCGAGCACGCCGATCACCATCACCGGCACACCCCATGCCGTCCACGACATTTCGCCCCAAGGATACAATAGTAACAGCTTCCAATGCGTCCTACTTCCAATGCGTCCTACTCTACCTCGATCATAAAAACACCCGAAAAATAAGATTATGATTTTGACTTTGATTTTTCAAAGACTGGAGAACTGGACTCGTGTTCACGCAAACACGATGTCCGTAACCAACCAAGATGCTTCAGACAAATTTCATCAAAATTTTCAACCAGTACCTCATACAACGAATTCACCTGTACTATGTGAAACGTTCAGAAACATCGCTGATAAATGACGCTAGAATCCCAGCGTCTAATCACGTGCGACTTCAAGAAATGCAATCCCGGCTGAGAGTTTTAAAAAAAAAAAAAAAAAAAAAAGAAAGAAAGAGAGATCTAAAACTACGACTAAATTCCAATTAATGAAACAAATTCTTAGATAAAACCATCAGGCGCAATGACTTCGGGGCATCGTTCACACAATCAAAACAAACACGACGGCAAGCACACAAGATGCAGAGATCACGCCCACGCATTGCTTCGATCCCTACCAGCCACGCACAGAGAAGGTAGCTTTCACAAAAAGGAGAAGAGCAAAGTCTCACCGGAGCAGAGGCCGCCGGCGTGTTCCGCAACCAGGAATCGCGTTAACGCACATGCAAGAGGAGCACGATACAATGAAGGGGCTTAACCAAGAGATTTGATGAGTGCTAATGGTTTCTTCAAAGTGTGGAGGTCACGTTCCGAATGGTGGTAGTCCCTACCGTCACGAATGCACCTCCAGAGCTGCCACGCGAGAGACTGCTTCTGCGGCCATCACCCCTCGACCTTGAAGACCTCTGAAATCCATTACCTCCTCCTCCTCCTCGCTCCTGTTCACTGCACGAGTTGCCGCTGCTACCACATCGCTCCACAATCCATTCCGTTTCGATTCCTTGGCAGAATTGGAATCAAACCTTATCCCGCCATAGCTTGCTTGCCTCCAGCGCATTTAGATATGGCGACGACACTGTTCATTCCATGCTTCAAAACCTCGTAAAAACATGGCAAGTCCAAGTAAACCAATGTTTTCGTGGAACTTGGGTCTTCCTTTCCTTTTTATTTTTCCTCCACGTTAGGGTTTCTACCAAGAGCCTTCGATTAACGTCGGAATACCTTAAACCAACAACTTCAGGTTTATCCCGGAGGCTTTTTTTGGATTTTTTTTTGGATTTTTTTTTTTTGTTTGTTGTTTGTTTGTTTGGTGGTAGAGAAATAAGGTTTTGATGTGCTCCAAAAGAAAAAATTACAAAAATCGTAGAGGTTTAATTGATATAAAATTTCAAAGACTTTCATACTTTGAGCTCTTAAACCAATACATAGACTTGGCCAAAACTATCTATAAAAACATATTAAACAACTACCTCCATCACACTAAACTACTAACTTCATCCTTGTAAAGTTTGCCAATTATTGGTGGGTTTGGAATGGGCTTAGAATTTTTTTATATGAAGAATGGTTTATTTTGGATTTGTACGATGGCAGTTTTTGGCAAGGTCATTATTAAGAAATCTTAAAGAAATATCAAAAATAGAAATCATAATTGAATCTTAATCAAATCGTAGATAAATCCTAATCAAATCCTAAATCTTAATCCTAGACCAAACCCTAATGAAATCCTAAGCCCTAAACAACTCCAAGAAAATCTCAAGTAAATTTTAATCAACTACTATAGCTATTTGAAACCTCAATAAATATTAATTGAACAGTAGATCTTCACTAAAATTTTACCTAGACTTCAACCAACAAGCAATTAACAAGCATGCAAAATTTGAGAAAAATTAGACTTACCAATTGCAAGAAAAGCTCTCAAAATCTCTCAGTCATTGGTTGCCTTCTTTCTCTAGCTTCAATGTTGATCTTTTAACACCAATTTCTCTTTGTTGAATAATTCAATTGCTCCAAAAATTGGATTATGTGTAGGTATTCAAGTCTTAATTTCTCTCACTAAATTTCCCTTCAATCCAACTAACAAATATTATTAAATCTTGGAATCACTCACTGATACTAAATCTCAAATTTCTAAGACCATAATCCACAAAAACCCTTAAATGCTTCAATCTAATTGCTTCATTGACTTCTAATTTTTCACACATATTAACAACAATCACAACAACAAATTATCCAATTTTCACATATACATATGCTGTAAAACTCAAGAAATTATCAAATTTGTAAACAAATTTTTACTTCTTAAAATCTAAATCCACCAAGTATATTATTAACTTTGAAAATAACTCAAAATCTCAACATTAATCCAAATGATATGAAACCAACACTCAAAAATCTTCTCTCTAGTTTGCTTCGATTTATAAAAGAACCCTAGAGTTGCTATAGGTGCTCGTTTTTGTGCCTCATGGTCTGATTTTGACCATGATTAGCAATTGGTCCTTTCCACATATCAATTCTTATCTTCGTAAGGTAATTTTTGCTAAAATCAACTCCTAACTCTCTCCTACATTTGTCTATATCCTTTATTTTTCTAATCTACCTTGTTTTGTCTTATTTATGGTTCTACAAAGAAAATAGAATCCATTTGCATAAAAAGAAATTCTAATACTACTAGATTTTATTACATGTCTATTATTTATCTATATTGTTTTACTATATATTTTTAATTAGGCTCTTCTATAATAAAATACTTTTCTTCCTCTTTCACCTAATGGCTATGTTACTATACAACAACATTATTATAATCTTGTCTTACTCTAAATATTAATATTACTTAACAAAATGGTATCAACTAAATGTTTTCAATTTATACATAAGAACCATGGAATAAAGTTTTAATGGAACAATAGAATGATGATAGTGTTTTAAAGTAAGGTAATAATATAGTGTATGTAATTAATTACATGGTCTTTATCCTTGGATAAGAAGACAAGAAGTTGTAACTTTTAAAGATTGGTAGAAATTGAAAAGATTTATTTGGATTTCCTTTTATGTTTAAAAAAATTAGTTTAGAAGCCGCTAAAAGATGAAGTAGAATGAACTTTATTCCTATGTAGTATAAATAGTGTGATTCTCTAGATTGTTTTTATTTTTTCTATCTTAAGAAAATATTTTTATAAAAAAATTAAAAAGTAGTATAAAAAATTATAAATAATATCTATTAAAATTTTAAATAATAATATTAATAGTAATATATGTGATAATTATATAAACTAAGATAAAAATTGATAACTTTGTAATTATAAATATATCAATAAAAATTTTATAAATCTAATAAATGTCATAGTTTCTTCTTACTTTATATTATTTTTATGGTTGGAGCTTCTAAATATTTAGTTTTTATGAAAAATGACTTAAAAAAGAGTGGATGAATCAAAACAAGAATTGTGGTGAATATTGCCTTTAAGCATTCAAAGACTTTCTCAGCTTAAGATCTTCATTTGAGCTTATCTTTATATATCAATTATATAAGTAGAATATATGTTTGAAAATAATTATTGATAAAGATTCTATAGAAGTTTAAAAATCTAAAAAAGTATTAAATATTATTTATTAATTTTATAGTTGCTTAGTTCTTAATAATCTTAATCTTCTTTGGATCCATCATTAAATCTTTATTTAATATTATATAGCTAAGTTAATCTACTTGAAATTCACAAAACATGTATTTTTTTAATTTGGCATGTAATCCACTATCTTATAATTTTTTTTAGATAAGATGGATATGTTGTTTATGCTCTTCTAGAATCTTAAAATAAATCAAAATGTTATTCAAATAACATATAAAGCCATTAAGTAATTCTTAAAATATGTTTTTTATCAAATATTGGAAAATAGTTGGTACATTTATAAGGCCAAAATACATGACATTGTACTTGAAGTGACCATAGCTTATAAAAAAATTACTCTTCTATTTTTCTTTATATATATATATATATATATATATATATATACATACATACTAGATTATAGGCTCTTGTGAGATTTATTTTGATATAGATTTTAGTTTGATTCAATTTTTTAAAAATCTTAAATATCAATAATAAAGGATAATATTTTTTATCCTTATTATATTGATACTTCAATAATTAATACATAATCACAAAGATCCATATTTTTTTTGTACAAAAAATACAAATACATTAATAGGAGATTTGAAATATTGAATAAAATTCTTTGTTAAATTTTCATTAATATTCTCCTTTAATGCTGTAAACTTGTTTCATAACAAGTTATAAATTGGACCAAAAGGTAGTTGAATGCCATCTTAAAGATCAATAGTAAAGTCATATAGACAATATTCTTACAAGGTGTTTGCATTCTTCTTCTTAAATTTATCATGAAATTCTTCACAATTCTTTCAGAAGGGTTCTAGGAATATTTTCCACTTTATATGTTGGAATTGGATAAATAATATATATATATATATATATATATATATATTGATTTCTCTTATAAAAACTTTGGTTCCAATAAAAATAAGACTTTATGATTTTAGATCTCAAAGGTATATGGAATTTTCTATCAAGTTTAGTGATAATAGATTGTGGTTTTTTAAAAAATCCTATTTTACAAGATATCCAATCTATATAACAATTATGTCTTTCTATCAAAAAAAATCTTTAAATAATAGAATCAGATGGAGATCTAATGATATTAAATATAACTTAACCACAATAATTCTTTGATATTATTTCTAATGGATTGATTTCATGAATAACATCTCTTAAGTATAAGAATCAAATACTTATGGCCTCTACATATACAACCTTGATTTGTTAATTATAAGAATTATATGAATTTTTAAATATTTCAAATCAATAGATCAAGTAGAGACTTTAGAATCTATTAAAGCAAGAGTTTTGAATTTTTGAATATCAAAACATATTAATATGGTAAAACAATAAAAAAAAAATTAGATGATAATATATGACTTTTTATTATTTGTGGAGTAGTAGAATCTAGTCAAATAATTCCTATTGTGGTTAGATATCTTAATTTTCTTGAAAAGCATTTAATAATGTAATTATACTTCTCAACTAATATGTATGACAATGATTTTTGTGGCAATTATCTACCTTCTGCCATACTTTATATAATATAAATGCAAGCCTTATTTTCTTCTATGCTTCTTTTCTTATTTACAAAGAAGTTTGAAATAAATTTCATCAATCTAGATATCTTCTATTTTCTAATGTTTGTTAGAATTAAAGAATGTAGAATATTTTGAATAAAATTTTAGCACATATAATAGACATTCAACTTATTGGCATTAAAAAAGTTGATTATTGTACTTCACAACTTGATTGATGGCTTTATTGAGTGATTAAGGATCAAACATAGACAACAATAGGTCCTTCACATTGTCTTCTATTTCTAGTAAAATTAACTTATTGCTAAATCTTCTTCTCAATTTATATCACATATTAATAGCCAAAAATTGAAGATACAAAGCAATGTAAAACATGTTCTTTTAAAAAGTTTTAAATTTAGGTTGTTGCAAAACAAATCTTATTATATTGATAAAAAGCTTCTTCAAATATTCCCAAAAATGTCTCAAATTTATACATTATGGAAGAATTCTTCTTGAATAATAGAACAAATAAAGACAAAGCTTGACATGAAAGCAAAGTTCGACCTAGACCAATACAAAATACTTTTGAAGAATACCTCTAAGGATGGAGCAAAGTTATAAGTTGTACTTGAATTATGAAGCTACAAAACTTTAAACAAGTTCTATTAAATTTCTCTCAAAGGTTAATTCTTAGTTCTTTTATTATTGATATTAAATTATTATTTTAAATACATATATTATTTTAAATACATACATGAAGTAGACTTTATTGATGGAATTTCTAAGGTGACTTGTAATAGTGGCTAAGATATTTCTATTCTTTAAACAATATGAATGGTCATATAAAGTACTTTATTTTGCTTAGATAAGGTTTTTGTCTTGACTTTCAATGCTTCAAGAGTATTTATAATCAAATTTAATTTGGCTTCTTTAGAATTTATTTTATTGAATTCTTCATATCATGCTATAAAAATAAAATAAGAAGAAATAGATAGAAGAAATGAAGAACAACATTAGTCTAGAAAAGCATAATCTGAAACTTCTAAGGCACTATAGTACTTTCAAGAAGATGGATAATCTGCTCTTATCCAAAAAGATCAAGTTTAATGTACTATTATGGATACACCACTTTGATTAGACAAGATTCAAAGAGTTCAAAGAAATGAAACAAAAGATATTTCTTTTATATCACAAATAAGGAGTTACAATAAGGCACAAGAATAAGATCAAAAAGTTCAAGCTTAGTCACAAGGATTGTATTGTTGAGATTGAAGATCCCCTCAACCTTGACTTCTATATATATTAGGTATAAGGAACCTCCTTCAAAAGTTTCTTTGATGTTTTGAAGTGAAGTAAGCCTCCAAGAACTTTCTACAACTATCTAAGATCTTTAGAATCTTCTAAGGCCTTTTAGAAGCTTCTTAGAATATATTAGAATCTATTAGGGACTTCTTAAAATTATTACGAACCATCAAGAACCTTCTAGAATCTTCTTCTATTGTATGTGTATGACACCTACTATATTTAAACTTAGATGCAATTGATGCACAATAATCCAAATATTTTGAAAGAAAAACCTAAGAATCAAAAGTTAATTGGCATGGTTTAATTTTAGAGATTATTTTAGAAAGTATTGGGATTTAATTTTAGATAACAATAAACACCCCAATCTGTTAGAACTAATTGTAATGTAACATTCTAAATCTTTTATTACTTTGGATCCTTCTTTAAATGTATTGTTTTGAAGCAAGTGTTATTTTTTCATAACTCATTGTATAGGTTACCATTCCAATGTAGATGAGTTAAAAAATTTAAACTTGACTTAATCCACTTACAAAAAAGTAGAATTTCCAGATCATTTCACACGTTTGGAACAACAAGAGGATTGAAATAACCTACTCCATGAAGGAAAAGAGTGCTTTTTAGGGCTGGTACGTGTCGGTGGCCAGCAGCAACCGGCGACGGTTACGCACGAGCATGTGTCGGTGAATTCCGTACGAATGCACACCTTGTCGGTGAACGTTTCGTATTGAAAAAACGGACATGGTTGATCACGGGATGCCATTGTTGGGGTTGGAAATTGGGGAAAGAAGCCATGGGCACCGTGCGGGGAATGTTGGATCGGATCAGCGGCGCTTCCCAGGTACTGTTTCGGCAAATGCTTGTGTGATGCTCGAGCGACAATTCTGTCAGGGGGATGTTCGGCATTGTCGCAGGAGGATATGGCATTTGCTGCATGCGTTTTAATGTGCTTGTGAGGGTTGTCTTCCTATATGTTCGCAACAGGCTAGGGGATTGTCGTGCACATCCACAGGAAGACGTGCAGGTTTGTGATGCCATGTTCCGCTTAATGATGCAGATGGCACGGATCTTTATGCCTGATTCGCGTCTTCGGCTCGCAATTCCTGCGCTGCCAGCGGGACCAGCCCAGAGCATACTCCGACGGTGGTTTGCTCAGAAAAAACCTAAAGTAATTGCTTTGCCATTTTTTCATGTGGGTCGATGAGAATCCGATCCTGAATTGAGTGAAGTTGCAATTCCCTGCTTGGGTCGTTGAAATTCCTCTTCGGTCACATCTGATGGTTTTGGTTGTCACATGCTTTTGTCAGACTCTCCGATGTGCGGATATGTGCTTGAAATTTACACCTATTCTGATCAGTTGATTGGTTTCCTTGAAGCCTAGTGAGAGAACCACAGTTTTGCTACTGAGAGGATGGTTTTCCTATTTTATCAGAACGAATATTGTGAATCGTCATCACTTGAGAAATGATAGTAGATCGAGAGAATGTCGGTGGGGGGTTCTGTTGCTGATACGATGCAGATAGATGTGATGTTGAAGTAGGGAGCAATATTCTACTCAGCAGACCTGCATTGACATGAGGCTCAGTTTTTTAAAAAAATTGCAAAACCACTGGTGTTGAAATGTGCCATATCCTGCATCTCAGAGTGGCATCAAAGACTAATTTGTAGAAATAGCACATGAATGGCCGAGTGTAGGTCACACCACCCGAGAAAGCCAAACCGGAGAGCGAGGGTAGCTCTGACAAATCCAACAAGAACAAGGCGAAGCAACCCACTCCTCGTAAGGATGCAAAAGCAACAGATTCAGAGAAGTCGAAAGGATCTGCTGACTCCACCACGAGCAAAGAGAAGAAAGAGGTTAAGCGAAGTAAACCTCCACCGAAGAAAGGTAAGTAGAACTTCAATGGACATGCTGAAACCGCTGGATTGTGCAACATTCAACATAGCGATGGATATCCTGAACAAAAACGAAGTGTAACCCACTAGCAATAAGACGAGAAATACCGCCAGTAGTCGATCCTGAGACTGAGAAGATTTGGCTTGAGGTGAATGGGAAGCAGCATTTCTATGTAGAAAAAGTCTTTACACACACACATCTTTCAATTGAAAGACTGCCACACCGAAAAGCTGTGCTGAGCTTACAATCTCTTCGTCAAGTTGCAGAATGGCAGAAGCCTTGCAAGTAGGTTTCATGCATCTCAATGTTTCCAAACACAAGGAGCTAAATAACAATCGACTTATACATAGAATCCTCTTTTCTGAAGAACATATTTTAAAATGAGTTTAGAATGATCTGAATGTTAAAACTATCCCTTCCTGAAATTGATGACTGGACCACCAGTGTGGTTATATTATATTATTTTTCATTAAGCCATAATAAATTTAGAATACATTATGAATGTGCATCAAGAGCGCATGTTTTTCATAGTATTTATTTAAATGCATTTACTGTTATCACTATTATAATTATTTTAGCATAATCATATTGTTTGTCGAAAGATTGAATTATGTACTGATACAAATAGTAAAAGTATGTAGTCACACTTGAAAAATATTGTCATTTAGCATAACCTAATCAGATCATATTGCCACAGGATCCGCTACCCCTAGTTGATAAATGTAGTAATTTAGGATGCATTAAAAATTATCCGCGAACAAGAAGGGTTTGACACATGGTATCATAATTAGAGATTCAATTTTCAGTACATAATGTTCAATTCAAAAAAAAAAAACAAGCCGGGAGAGGTGGGTATTTGCAACGCAGTCAATTAAACTCGTGATGATGTAAACCTACGCAAATTGAATGAACATGCCCTCTGCTGTTTAAGGTAACAGAGTGTTTTAACAGCTTGTCAAACCAAATCTGCATATTGTCTTCAATTTACAAATCATATGACTTACAATTTCTGTAGGGCAATAGCCATACATTGATATCCAATGGGGGGCCTATATTAAAAGCATGAGAGACATAATGTAGAGATTGCAGTTGATTTTTTTTATTGATGAAGTCATTGATAAAAAAGTAGACTAGATATCCTAGAGAAACATCAACTCCATTTAAAACATTAATAAAACTAAAACCTCAATAAATAATTATTTCGCGCCGAGACAAAGGAGGAAAGTTTGGTTTCGATCATTTTCATTTCACGTGAAGACAATAAACGTCAACAAATTACACCTCTTCTCTTTTCTATCTAATAATCTTTTTCTTTTACTTATAGATTTGGTCCAAACCCCTCCTCATCTATTTACATTACAGAACTTATCGTAGACTTGGCACCCAGCCATCCGTATCTACATAAACCAGGGAGCTAGTTATCGTAGACTTAGAACACGACACAGATACCGACACCGACTCCACCGAGAGCTGCTCAAATCCTCACCGACAAGTCTCGTGATCAGCAATCCAGGGAAACCTGACTCAAGAGCTCGACAGCGGCGGCGCAATAAGCCGACATTTGCGATCGAGTGAACACAGGTTGAGCGTAAATGAAAGAGATGGAGAGGTCGTTCCCCTCGCGCAACGTCTCGCTGATGGCGAAGCAAGGGCCGACGCCGTGCATGGATGGGAACGGCCCCGCCACAACACCCACCTGCAGATTCTGATACCCTCTCCACTGCAGCTTCGGCGCTTCGTCCACGAACAAAGAGAAGAGCGATGTTCGCATTGAGGATTGGGGCGTCACGTTGGGATGTTTCAGGACCTGCGTAGCGAAACAACTGAAGTTACTCGATTTGACTAACAAAGGAGCAGAGAAAACATCTTTGCGATGCCTGGTGCCGTTGGAAGTCTCGCAGTACCTGTGAGAAGAGCATGTTCGGAACTGGGATCTCTGATAAATGTTTGCTTTTGGATAGCTCCTTCGCCGTTAAGGCCGACACGGTACGGGCCAGGTCCCAGAAGGAGCAGCCTTCCTTTGCCTGTTGGCCTTGAGGAACACCAGCAACGAAATTCCCCATAGCGTCGACCGCTAGACTTGGCTCGAAAAATCTGCGGCAGTCCACCAAGCTACCATAGAACAGGGATCCAGTCGCCATTGACAAGCTTGAGTCAGATTTTTTCTTACACTGGATAGCGATACGATATTTAAGATACTTCGTATGTGGGGAGAAGTAGTTTAAAAATGAAAGAGGATGGTATAGGAGCCGAGGTTCTGAGCCAAGCACCTCGTGAAGCTGAACTCATCCTTCTTTCTGTCCTTGAGCTCCTTCACGCCAGCCGCAGTCTTCAAGAACGCTGTGCCCAATGCTGCTGCCAAGGTCGTGTTCTCCTTCTTGCATGCAGCGAGAAGGCTTGCGGTTCCTGCACAAAAGGCAGCTTACAACAGTCGTCATGAATGAATACACTCGTGGCCTGCATACACAAAAGCTGGTACAAATACGATCAGCACGTATCAAGGCAAAGAAAGAGAGGTCAAGCATTGTGAGCTTTTAATTCTAATTGTGTATAATATACCTGCTTTGCCCAGGCTGTATGTCAACACATCGGACTTGAATTTCTCCTTCCTGTGTTCGGCAAAATTTGGGTGAAAAGGTAAAAGAGAGTATCTGTTGGCGCTCAATGCATATCCCACGGTGTCGAAGCCTTTCTGGAAGAAGTTTTTAGAGGATTTGCCCTTCGGAACTAGTTCCTCAATCGTCGGCAAGATGGCATCCTTCCCAGGGTTGTGTGGGAGACTTACGGGTTGACCATCCACAATGGAGTTCAATGCGGTAAGAAATTGATCCAAGGCTACGGAAGCAGACGGCCTGTCGAGGCCGCCGCTATGGAAACGCAAGACAATGATGGTCTGTGATTGAAATGACTCAGTGTACATGTGAACCTGCCAAGAGCAGACGAAAGCATAATGTCAGCACCAAACACCATCAGCCTCGTCAACAAACAATGCTTTCATGGAAAATCGCAAAGAGCACCTACTGAAATTTGGAATATCGACCACTTTCAGCAGACATGGAATCCACACCTGGAATAGGTTCAGAGGAGGACTGGGGCTGTCTTCGGGGATTACGAAGGGAGTGTTAAGCTCATCACGAACCACTTTGTTGACAGCGGCAGCGAGGCCATCGTCATCTCCATCGACGGTTATATCCCCCACACTGTAGCTTTCGCTGGTCTGGGGCCATGGATAAATCTCAACATTGGGAGCAATAGAGTTACCCTTGATATGAAATGCAAGCTTGCCTTTCGGGGTCTCCACTACTTGAGCCCTCAATGTCGCATGCTGGTCCATGACCTCTTGACATGCTAGAGCGACCTGGTGCGACTTCACCAACCGCCGCAACGCAACAGCCACGACAGCGATGCCTGTACCCAGAGCTGTGGCCTTTGTCCAATTATATTCTGATGGACCCAACACCCTAGTGTTATCATCGCCGGAGACAACTACAGGTGCCATGACTTGGCGTTGGGCGAATGCCACGGGTGCAATTCAATCACCTGCAACGGCGTAGGGTAGAGTGAGAACTTAAATGCCAAACTAGCAAAAAGAAAACATCATAGCGGCACATCAACCGCTGTGCCACTTCCAGTTTGCGTAGTGCATTGCATCATTAGAAACTCGCAGAATTCTCATGGAGCATCATTTAATGTTGAAGAAACAGAAATCTCAAAAAAGGGTTCACATGGCAATGCAGCAACCACGGCGAAGACATTCATCAGTACGTAGAAAAACCAATTCACAATACTGAAGGATTCACAGCATGTTAAAGACGAGTGAATGAAAAGCTGCACTGCTGCTTGGGTTTCCCATTGTCGTCAACGTCACTCTACAATCGAGCTACTTGAGAAACCTCTAATTAGCCGCGTCCCACAGAGTGACTCACAACAAGTGTTTCACCGGCAGTGTCAGCGGCGACGAGCAAGTGGCAGAGGTTAGGACCTAAGTCCGCAACACCAGCCGCGGAGATGACAATTGACCTCCACCCTGCAAGGGTCAACGTACAATCTTACAACACCAACCACTACACCCACCATCACATAATCACCTCACCTGGCCACTCCTACACCTCTAATTACCATATCGTCTCGTCAGAGACTAAACTACAAGAAGATAGCTGACAAAGGCATATCGAGCCCTGCACGCAAACTGAACCCAAACTCAGCCCAGCTCCACTCATTCGCCCACGGCACCACTCGACCCATCACACTCACAGTGGCTTGTGCGCAATAATATCGGTACCCCACCCTAAAACCCAGTTCTTCGGTTCAATATCAATGCAATCAAGCTGCAGCGCCTGTGTGCATGCTGATTTGAGATCCATTAGCATCGCAACTAGTACCGATCATCTGCATGAGACGAGCGTTGTCAGGAAACGGACCAGTATGTTACCGGCGCCTACCAGCAGCCCTAACCGCCGTCTAGCTCACTGAACCTCCTGCTTCCCTGAACGTCTGACTTCAACCTGCAGACAGCAGACAGTGGTATATGGAACAGAAACCAGCTACAGATACACAGTCTGGATCAGGAATGAATCAGTAACGACTTCATGCTTGCAAGTTTGTTTTTCTGATTATATGTATATCCTTCGAGACCACGGGTCTGGAACAGTGTAAATCGCTCGTAGCGTTCTGATGCAACTTTAACTGCTGCATGACCTAACTTCACCGCAGTATCATCGCCGATCTCGGCAATGTATGGCGAGTGGGTGGGATCATTAACGAAGTCGGCGCCTTTAGCAACCGCGTCCCATCATCTTCTCAGACAGGTCAAATCTGGTACCCTCGCGGGAAAAGAATCTTAAGGGGAAAAAAAGCACCGAATCTGTCATCTGGGTACCATGAATCATATCGATCCAACAGCGGAACCAGCAAGACCTGCAGGCACAATCTAGTCTAGTCTAATATAGTCTAAACTAGTCTAGCCTGGGCCTTCTTACCCTAATCCTGGCTAGTTTTAGGGCTTGGTGCCACACCTGATGGATGTTCCTGAGACATGCAGAAACATGGCAACCTTGAGGCTAATGCTGCAAGGTGAGGAGGGGGTGGAAAAAGCAGCAAAAAACAAAAAAAAAACAAAAAAAACAAAAAGCAAAAAAAACAAATCAAATCAAAATCAAAAACAAAAACAAAAAATAAATAAATCTCAACCCATACAGTGGGTGGCAGAGGGTGATGGTGATACATTGAAATGTCACCATTGCAGTGAATACAAGACTAGATAGAGGGGCCTTCAGATCATTAAAACAAGCTCACATCTTTCATTAAATTAAGCAGTCTGCTAAATGCCTCTATGACTAAAGCTGGGTGTTTGTTTTTAGTGGTGGTGATGGGGCCCTCTCTCTCTTTCTCTCTCTCTGTGGTCATCTGTGTCCTTGTAGCCCCAATGCCAAATCAAATGATAGCATTAACTGAAGCACAAGAGTATCAAGCCTGATGTCAATGACCATCAAATTTTGGCAGTTGAATGAGAGTTTTGGGGCTCACAAAGACCGCCCCCCTTAACGAACTCCTGGCCCTGGCATCCTAGTCCTGTGATTACAACAATTATATGGAGTGAGAGCTTTCGTAGCAGTTATGACAAACTTCAAAGGCTTTTGCTTAAGTGTGAGTTATAGCATATCAAATGTGAGGGGCTAGGCTATTTATTTAAGCTTTGCTTCTTGGAAGCCTTTTGGTTCCCTTTCGGGTACGTTGGGGTGTGGATTGGACAGTTGGGGTTATCAATTGGATGGTTATCCTGCTGTGCTGCGTGTTAGCATCACAATTGGATATAACCCATAATATATCAATGGCAGGGTGGAATTAATATTTGTGATTGATACAAATGGGCTGTTATTGGTTATTTATAGTGGGAGGTTATCAATGACGCTTCATGAGATCTGTTTGATTTCATCGTAGAGGGCATTTAAATAAAATGATACTTTTGAGCACAGTCTGTAATTAATTGCTGTAGCATACTGTTTGATTCAACAGAAAATATGAAACTGTTAAATTTACGTCTGTTTTGAAATAGTTCTTAAAGGTTTGGAACATCAGTGTGTGTTGGTGATAATGCACTTGTTATTAAAGTTTTGTTTAAATGTAACAGAATTGTTCTCATGATTTGTTTTATTCATTACAGTGTTCCAATCAATTATGTAATTTGAAAAAATAAAATTAAATAATTAAGTTTCAGTCATCTATCCTTTCAAGATTTTCAATAATAAGTATTTGGAAATAACTGTTTCTATATGTTGCTTTTAATAATTTTGTGCAGCAAAAATAACATCCTCTGCTCCTCATAAGACTCAAGGTAACATTGAAAAAGCCACAGAATAATAGAGAGATGAAAGAGTAGTGATGAAAATGATGCTATTAAAGTCAATCGATTTTTCTGTAATTTTTTTTGTAGAAAAATAAAGTGAATGTTTGGGAGCATTTTATGGATTTTCTTTTCCTTCAGCGACCAGGAGAATATTCCAATCAGTGGATTGCAAATTCATAAATACTTAAGATTTGATGTTAAATGAAAAATGAAATATTCAACTTTTCCAGTGGTTTGTTAATAATAGGTTATAATTACAAAAAAATTCAAAATTATTCAGATTTATAAGTTATAAGGAATATATTTTTATGATCTTTTGGAATCATGATATACACAAGTTACTTTTTATTGAAGTATTCAAATCAGTATGATTTATGGAGAAGTTTTATTCAATTTCATTTGCATAAATATATATATATATATATATATATATATATGTTTAATTGTATTTAAGTTATTATAAAGTATATCAAGTAAAAAAAACCTATAACAATGAATTGTCATTTGTTTGTGTATTTGTGATTTTTATTTTTCAAAATCAATTCATCAAAAAATGTTAATATAAAAATACTTTATTTTCCTCATATTTTTTTTCTAAATTTTTTGCCATTGAGTACACACGATTGCTTATTTTTAATTTAAAAAATAATGTTGTAACATTTCTTTGCTGTAAAAATTGGATATCTAAATGTTATTGAAATTATCTTAGATTGTGTAAATTTTAAATATATAAAGATGTACATTCTATTGTATGATTTTATGTTTTTATTTTATTTTTATCATTTTATAATTCACATTAAAATATTATTTTGGATATAAAAAGTACCATCAAATCTTTATAAAAATCTAAATATTATTGATAAAAATGAGATTGTATATTTATAATTATGTCATTAATTAAAAAAATTAATAAATTAATACTATTATAATTTCTATATATATTATCCAAAAAAATAAATTTATAGAAATAAATAGAAGTAAATAGACACATATTAGGTAGATAATAGTTATTCTGAGATATAATTTAGACTTTTGTAACAAATACTTCTACCAATGAAAATATATAGTCAAATTTTTAAAATATGCATTTTAATGCTGTATACTATAAATTTTTTATAACACTAAAAATTATTTCACGTTGGTATAAAGATTTTTATTTTCATTGAATAGAGACTAAATATTTTGCACAATTGTTTCTAAAATGCTACACACCAAAAAATAATATATAGAAAAAAATTATGTCAAAGAAAAAGTTTGTTTGAATATAATAGAAACTAAGTAGTTAGATTTCTAAATAATATTATCTTATAAAAGTCCTATTCTATCATTAAAATATGATCTTCTCTTTAGTATAAATTTTTTAAATCCACAAATTATGTAATTTCTACTTCTGCATTATTAATTTCCAAAGCTTTTGTATTATTTCTAAAAAACTTTGTTAAATAATGTAAAATTCTTTTTGTACAAAAATCCAAGGTTATATACATAAAAGTCATAATTGGCCAATTTTTGTCTTTTAATGATATTACTTAAAAGTATTTTTTATAAAGTTACCTATGTATATATGGTTATAATTGCTAAATGTGTTTTAAACTTCTGATTTTTTTTAGAAACCATATTATTTTTTGTTTATCATGCATGGAGGAATATAACCTTAAAAAAAGATTTATCTAATTTATATTATTTTTTAAAATAAAATATGTTAAATGTTTTTTAAAATAATTTAATTTATTTTTTTAAGAATATAGGCAAAACTATAATTTACAAAAAAAAAAAAAAAAACAAAAAACAAAAAACAAAACAAAACAAAAAAACAACCAAATCTACTTTTGTTTTTGTAAAAATCTAATCTTCATTTAAGTAGAGCTTGTAAATAAAGTATTGAAAAATATAAGAAATATTAAGATGTCCTTAAAAAATAATAATAGGAAAAATTAATCTATGCATTGTCTAATAATTGTAGAATTTACTTGTAGAAAAAGAGCTCTGTTACCACTTAATCCAATCTACAACTTATAACATAATAAATTAATCATTGTTATAAAAAATAGATATTGACAAAGATGTACTTGATAATTAAAGTCTTGTATGAATGTATCATTATTTTTTGTAAAGAAAATTAATAAATACTTGTAAGTATTTTACACAAATCAAGTTAATTTTTTAGAATCTGTGACTTTAAATAAAAATTTACAGAATTATTCTAAAACATCACAAACTATCATAAAATAAAATAAATCCAAAAAAATTAAATTATATGTATTATTAAAAATAGAATAGAAACACTAAATAATGTTTTTAGACTATAATATTTATTTCATAATTTTTTATTTTATATGTATTTTAATATAATATTTTAGATTTTCAATTATAGTGTTGTAGAGGATAATTTTATAATCCGATAGAGGCTTTGAAGTAAAACCATAATTTATACTAAAATCATAAAAAATCTAAGTACTTTAAATGTGTGTTAAATTGTTGCAAAGCCTATTGGATCATGGTTTTGGCATGATTTGCATTCAATACTATATATTAAAAAAACAACCAAACTTATAATTTTTTATTTAATTTAGACGCTTGTATCTCAGACCAGAAGAAAACAAATTATATAATTAGTGGAAAATCATTCTTCTAAACATAAACAATTAAATCTTTGAGAGATGAATTTAAAAATGTTTTTGGTCTTTAGACTTCTATAGAATTTTTCTTTAAAATCTATTTATATAAATTTATAATCATCTATTCTAATAGATTTTATGAAAAACGTTTTAGTCTTATATTCTTAAAACTTTGTTTTTATGATAGTAGATTCTCTACCTAGAATTTTAAAAATTATATCTTGTATAAAATTTATTAGTTTTAATTCTTTTTTATATTATCTATTAATATTATTTTAATTTTTATTACATAATATCTAATAAAGACCTTAGTTTGTATCAGATTTATAGAAGACAATTATTTAAATATTGAATATAGATATGAAATTGTAATCAATTTTTCATATTTAAACCAATGTGTCTTTCAAAAATTTAAATTAAATTTAAAAATG